TGTTTGTGTATTTTACAGATAACTCCCTTAACCTTAACCCGCAAAATGTTACAAAATCCCCTTAAATTTTGTTAGAAAACCCCCAAAACATGGTGCTATTTCTAACTTTCATTCTACGAAACCCTCTTTTAAGTATGAGAATTTTCAAGATACCCTTTTATCTTTAAAAATGTCACAAAACCCCTTTAAGTTTTGTTAGGAACCCCCTTCCCTCCCACGCCATTAGGGGGGATGGGGGTGTTTTATCGAAAAAGAAATGTTTTAAGTTGACTCAAACTTAAAGGGATTTTCTTGACACTTTAAAAGTGTGGGTTTATATGAGAAACACCCAAACTGAAAAGAGTTTTGTGAAATTTACCCTTTTCAAATATTGTTACTTCTACAAATTTTTTTCTCCTGTTGTTACATGCTAATCGAAGCTGCTAAATACTTACATGGGCAGCTTTTAGAAGTAGTAAAATATTTTGAATTAGTTCCTCAAATAATTAAAATTACTATTTGATCCCACAACTCTGGCATTTTTTCTACTGATTCTCTTGATTAGAAGGATTAATTTGAAACAACTTATAAGAATTGAAGGATTTAATTCCAACTATTTGAATGACTAATTTTAAAGCAACTTATAAGATTCGGTGGACCAAATGACAATTTAAATGATTTGAACTACTAATTTCGAAATATTAAAGGCTAAGGTACCGTACTGGTCTATAAAAGCACAACTACATACGTATAGCCTGTATTGTACGCTCTTGAAAAGACTTTTCCTTCGTTTGGTGGGCCCCATTCCCTTTTATCCGCGACGACAAACACAGGCCGAATCAAAAGCCCCAAAATCATTAGATTCAGCCCAACACACGGAGCCGAGATCGGTGTAATTGTCTGTAGAAATTTTTCTACTCCGGCGACGAGAGACGAGAGAAAGAGCTCTTCTTCAAGCCCTAATGTCTGCGCCTCGAAAGGAGGTACTCCCTCCCCCTCTCTCTAATTCAATTCATTTTTCTTTTCTTTTTTTTGTTGCTGTACGAATAAAAAAAAGAAAAAAATTTCTGGGCTCAGGTATCTCTAAGGGGAGCAAGCGCCAAAGAAATTACGAGGGATGCCCTCCTTCATAAAGTCTCTCACGAGAGGGAGCTCCGTAGCTTCAATCGCCGCGCCTCTGCTGCCGCCCTCTTCATTCAGGTCCCTCGATTACCTCAACCATGATCTCTGTTCTATCGATTATAGATTCATCTCTAAATTTGTCGAACTTTTTAAGATTTCTCTGCGTATAATTGTAGCATTTAGATAATGTTGAATTTTGAGTGAGTTTGGAAGTCATTTCCTGAAAAAGAATTCTTTTATGCTGTGGAGAAAATATCATAGATCTTGTCATTTTCACTCTGGGACCTGAAAGTTTGATCTTTTGAAAATTTGATAACAATTTGACACCCCAAAGGTTTCAACTTGACGTTAATTTGACAATTTGATACCCCAAAGACTTTGTTCCTCATTTTTTTCTAACTCAATAAAACTGAAACTGGGTTGGGTTCTCATTTATTTTTCTATGTTGATATTCTTCTTGTACAAATTTAACTTTTTTTGGGACTGGTTGCATATTAGTCCCTTAAATCAATCTTAATTTCCAAAAAGTCCCTCAAATCTCAGTATTTGGCTATTTGCTAAAACTGTCCTTGAAATCTTCATTTTAATTGCCACATTGTCCCTCTGTTAGGGATTCTGTTAAGTTTTCTAACTACATTTGCGACAAGCATTAACACGACATGTGAAATTACCGAGTGCCCCGGAGTATACGTTACCCCCTCCCAAGCAACTGAAACACTGTTGGAACAGCTCTGGTTTGGTTTAGGGGAAGTTCTAACCGTTGAGGAAGAAGAGTTTGGTGGGTTTGGGTTGCAGGTATAAACCCATTATAAAACAGGTTGGTGAAATTTTTAGTGTCAGTTGTTAAATATGAGTGTGGATATAATGAGAATATCATCCATTTCCATTTGAATTAACAGAATTTCACCCACATTAATGACGTCACCTAACAAGAGAAGATTTGCAATAAAGATGACGATTTGAGGGGCTTTTTGGCAAATAATGAGATTTGAGGGACTTTTTGGCAGTTAAGATTGATTTAAGGGACAAATATGCTATTATCCTCTTTTTGCACTTTGGGTATCTAATTGTAAAAATAAAACTCCAGGGCATCAGAGCTGAAAAGGTGAAACTTTAGGATACTGAAGAGCAAATAACACTTCTGGCAATGAAAGTGTTATTCATATTTTTTAAGTCGCCTGAGCATTTAGTTTCTTTTCCCTGTAATCTCGTGGTCTATGATTGTTGAAAACTTTTGTTTTTGTTTTCAATTCAGTGAATTCGCCCTTATACATGGATTGTTTGGTGAGCTTTAGACACTTTCCTTGTATTTTGGGTTGACCATTTCCTTTTTGCTGTGATTCATTCTCATTCAGCGAGTCTGGAGGCGGTATTATGCAATGAAAAAGGTTGCAGAACAGTTACGAGAAGAATGGAAAGTTCAAGCGCAGTGCCCTAATCACAAGAACAACAGATGGATTTCGACAAATCTGATTAGGCCCTTTCTGTTCTTTACTACTCGGCCATTAACTTTACATCAAACACTGCAACACGCAAATGTGGAGTGTATGATGACATGTTTTAAACTTCTCTTGCAAAGCATTAATTCAGCTGGTAAGCCATCTTTATACTATTTTCTGGACCTGTTCGAAATATATATTGTATTTTGCATATTCTGAGAGCCACTAATTACTATGAACTATATACGCTTACAAAATGTATTACATTTCTGATTTTATTAAGTCACTTCCTTGGAACTACTGTCTGTTTGCAAATGCAAAAACTATTAGGCTTGTATATTAGAAAATGGAGAGTTTAAAAGTCTGCTTTTTCTTCTTATTATAAATGATTGGAATATATTCTTATAGTATCCGATCAAATCATGCAAGTTAATTTATGTCATTAATATTTGTGAAACACTAATTATTAGTGGATCCGTAGGTTTTCTTTTACCTTTTTCATCTTCCCTCTGTGATCAGTCATTTTGTTAACCTGTAGATATGGAGGAGAACTTCTGTTCTCTGGCCTCTGGCACTCTCGAGGATAAATCTATATGGTTTTATCAGGCGCAAAAGCTGGTTTCATTATGCTTATTTATTCTTGGTGAATGCAATCAGACATGTCTTGACTGTGAGGACATTGTTTCGCTTACTGCACGAGCAACACGCTTAGTTGTTACTTTAACTGATCCCAAAGGGTGGAAGTGTTTCAAAAATGAGAACAGCAGAGATGCCGATATTGCTGTGAAGAAATTGATAGAATTTATGACTACAAGGACAAGTAATGTTTACATTTGTATCAGGAGATACCTAATGAAGCTTGACCTTCATATTGCATCACAAAAGAAGACCATGGCATCATCTGATGATGGTTTCTTGGTTACTGCAAGTGCAATAACTTTAGCTTTGCGGCCGTTTCATCTCAAGAAGTTAGACGCAAGTTCTATTGACCAGTTTGATGTGAAAGATTTTTATGGGCAGTACCTAAGTTTCATATTGACTGTTCCATATCTAAATAAACGTCTACCGCCTATTCTCTTACCAGCACTGAAGCATGAGTCTATCCTTATACCATCTCTTACTAATCTGCTGGTAAGGGCCATTTAAATTCTATATTTTCATCATTTTATTGTGATATTGATTGCGAAAAGATTATCATTAACTCAAACCTTATTCAAGTAGCCTAATTCGGACTCCTTTTTTTTGTCCCCAAGAGAGGAACATATGAATTTTCCAATTTGCTAACAGCTGGTTTTGTGGTTTTCACATCAATTTACTGTTTATAACTGCAGGGCTTTGTTAATTGAATCAAACGACGACTATATAACCTTTTTTCTGTGTTTGTTTGCTAACTAGTGTCTTTAGGGGGTGCTAAAAATTTATGATGTAGGTATATTCTGAATGTTGGTTGCAAATTGTGAACACTGCCAATTCATATTCTTGGCCCATCTTCTTTACTCTTCTACTTGTAGAACTTACTTGGCTCATATTGTCGCTTGAATTTTTAGAAGCTTTAAATCTACTATCGCATGTGGATGGGTCCAATATGTGTTATAAAATAATGTGGCTGTTTAAATCACTTATATGGTATAAATATTTCTTATCATGTTATATTTCAAGGTGTTTAGTACTTTTAAATACATCATTATACTATACACTGTGTTTCTTCAGCTTTTAGGATTTGAAGGTACATCGAGCTAATCAAATTGTGGCAGGTGCTGGCAGATATCCAAGGATAAAATTTTCAATGAAATGTTGGAATTGGATCATGCTGAAAATTCTTCCTCTAGTATTAAAGTAGTTCCTTCTATTGGTTGGGCTCTTGCAAACATTATAAGCTTGGCAACTGAGTGTAATAGTGACAAAAGTAATTTTGGTCACTTTGTCCCAGGCCTAGATTGTGAATCATATGTTCAAGTTGTCAATTGCATTTCCGAGAAATTCCTAAATTGCCTTGAGAATGCTGGAGGTTTAATGAGAAAGGGCAATAATGATTACTTAGAAAAAGATGATTCTTCTTCTCGATCTGTTGAATCCGCTAACTGCAGTAAGTTGAAATCATTGTACATGGACCTTTTGAAACCTGTATATCAGCAGTGGCATCTAAGGAAGCTTTGTTCCTTGGTGAAGAAGAACATACCAATTGAAGAGTTAAATGCTTATGATGCAAGTCAGAACTCAGAATTCTCTGGAAAATTTGAGCTACAAAATATTATATTCTTTTACTATTACATGCTCAGAATATTTTCTTCTTTGAATCCTTCTGTTGGGTCATTACCCATTCTTAATTTGCTCTCATTTACTCCTGGATTTCTTGTTGAGCTGTGGGGAAAATTAGAAGAATCAATATTTTGTCCTGCTCCTATGGCCCATGATGTTAAATCTTTGAAAGATGATAATTCTGGGCATTTTAGTGAAGCAAGTTGCAGTAAAAAGCAAATCTGGACCGTGAAGGAAACTGGAAGTAAGTGGGTGAATGTACTACAAAAGCTTGCCGGAAAATCATCCGATATTAGTAATATCAATTTAAGCAATGATCCAGTTAACGCTTGTCAAATATACGAGGATGCTAATGATTTATGGGACATTGAAGCTATGCGGCGAGGTGCTCAATTTGTTACAAGTAACTTGTCATGCATGCTGCATCTGTTCTGTGCTACATATGCGCACTTGCTTCTGGTGCTAGATGACATAGAATTTTACGAGAAACAGGTAAGTGATGCTAAACTCTTTCTTCTAGTAAATATTTCTATAATTTTTTCTTTTGCTTATTACCTTTTGTGGATAGGCTCCATTTACCCTTCAGCAACAGCGAAGAATTGCTTCAGTATTGAACACATTTGTATATAATACTTTAATTCACAATGGTGGACCAAACAACAAACCAATAATAGATGTAGCAGTCAGATGCCTCCATTTACTGTATGAACGAGACTGCAGGCACAAGTTTTGCCCTTCTTCTCTTTGGCTGGGGCCTGCAAGAGCAGGTCGCATTCCAATTGCTGCAGCTGCTAGAGCTCATGAAGCTGCATTTGCTAATTTTCAGTCCAAAGACTCTCTAAATATTTCAAGCACAAGCTCTGTACTTACGATTGTTCCTCATGTGTATCCCTTTGAAGAAAGGTATTACCCTCTGAAGTGTTTCAAGCAGTTGGTTTAGTATATGTATCTTGCTGTTATATTTTATTCTTGACCTGATCAGCTTCTGATTCTTTTTGCTACTAGAAGTACTGTATCCTATATTTTGGTCAGTTCAAATGCTTTTGAAACATAATGTGCCTTAAGACACATCTTTCTACTGAAACAGTTCTTATTTATGCTTTTCCAAGCTTTAAACTTCAAAATCAGATATTTCTTATTTTTATGCTTTTGCTGTTTTGCTAGAGCTCATGAAGTTGTGTTTGCTAATTTTTAGTCTGACTCTATTTATATTACTTTTTTTTTTGCTACTTAAGAATTATATCCTACATTTCTGTCAGTTTGTATGGTTTTGGAACAATATATGCCTTAAACACATCTTTCTGTTGTAACAGTTCTTATTTTATGCCATTGCGAGTTATAAACTTCAAAATCAGTTAGTTCTTTTGTTTGAGAGTTCTACATGCTGTAGATTAAGATTACTAGAGTTGATATTCAGTTTGTATGATCCATCTAAAAGTGCGCATTGTTAAGGGACCCCCCGCCCCCCCCTACCAAAAAAAATAAAAAAATAAAAATCCAACCACCCAACATACCACTGCCACCATCACAGAAGAAGACACATTGTTCATTTTGTTTAGGTATACCATGTAGAATTCCCATTTAAGTTATTTTTTAATTTTGTTGATGTATAAACTAATTTTTTTTAAAACCATTACCAAAAGACAGCCCCAAACCACATTGTGTCTCGTCAATGTTAGTTTTCTTAATAAACATCCATATTCTTTTGGATAGCTGTAAGGAAAAACAAAAGAATGCATTGGAATTTTTTAGATTTTGGTTGTCATTTCAGGATTTTTTTTCCTAATTAGGATTTTTCATGTTTGCATAAAAACAAAGAATCAGCACCTGTATATATACCCATGACTGAGACATACATCACTCAAAGTTTCTCACCTAGGGAAAGTTTTTGACTGTATCCAGTTTTGACAGTATCCAGACTTTCTCACACTAAATCTTATAATAGCTTTAAGAATGTCACAGTCCAGTTATAATTTTCTTTCTCCTTCATATGTTGATGATAGATGGTATGAGGTCTTTGCAGAGTTCAGATGTTCAGGGAATTTGTTAAGCTGGACAAAGTCTCTCGAAGAGTAGCCGGTGAATTGTCTGGACCAGGCTCAGGGTCAATAGAGATTGTTGTACGTCGGGATCACATTATTGAAGATGGATATAGGCAGTTGAACTTCCTTGGTTCAAAATTGAAGTCATGCATCAACGTCTCATTTATCAGTGAATGTGGTCTTCCTGAGGCTGGTCTTGATTATGGAGGTCTATCTAAAGAGTTCTTAACTGATTTGTCTAAGGCTATATTTGACCCACAGTAAGTTGTCTTTCTAATTTTTCTGTACGGTATAATTTGGACTTTGATGTAATTTATAGGTATCATTCTCATTTTTTACAGATATGGACTCTTTTCTCAAACTTCCACGTCAGAAAGCAATTTAATTCCTAACATGTCTGCTAGATTATTGGATAATGGAATCCAAATGATTGAATTCCTTGGTAGGGTCGTTGGTAAAGCTCTATATGAAGGAATCTTGCTAGATTATTCTTTTTCCCTGGTCTTTGTGCAAAAGTTATTAGGTCGTTACAGCTTCCTCGATGAATTATCTACTCTAGATGCCGAACTTTACAGGAATCTCATGTATGTCAAGGTAAACACTATTTATTGATCTTAAGGCTATTTTGCTAGTATGCTATTTTGCGTTGGTTCCTTGTGAAGACGTCAAAACTCATATGAGTATAACACTGAATGAATACATTGATTGCATCATCCTAATTTGAATTGGTGTGTTTCCATATCTTAGAGTTTTTCTGGATGATGTCGGTTGCATGGCTATTGAGATGAAAGGAAATTTATCATGACTTGGAAGTTGAAATGACCCTTTCTCTAGGGATGTTTAAAGACAAAACTGAGACTTGATAGCAGTTTTTGACTGTATCTTTGGATGACTAACGGAAGGAATTCTGTGCAAATAGGTATAGCAATACTGGGTCAATAGGAGGGGGATTTTGACAATACAAAGAGACTTTCTTTTTTTAATAAAGAGAAATTCTGAAGGTTGAAAATGCTAAAACCCATTTAAGTTAATAGCACACGTTTTTAGAGGTTGAAATTACCAGCCAGAAAAACATTTCCTAAGGGATAATAGGTAGAAGTTCCAAGCCATCGTAAGATTTTAAGTAGAGTGCAAGGCTTCATTATCGGATTTTCTTTTGCTTTTGATGCCATCATTGTTAGAACTTAAAAGATTTTGTTTTTTTTAACATGAAAATTATGTTCAGATAACCAATCTCTTTCCCAAGTGTAAAATGTGTGACAAGGTAAGATGATCAGAGGTTCTAGGTGAGCTAGAAAACATGAGGAGGATCTCAATCAGTCCAGATGATGTGCCAAGCAAAATGCCTTTTTCCTTATGGAGGTTCTGTAGATTATTGGAAAGTTTTGATTTACATTTTTTCTATGGTTCAAAAATAGTATATGAAGATAATAAGTAGTTCAAGGTTCAAACATAGTTAACATTTTATCCCTTACTGGGTTCATCCTCAAGGATCTAGAAATGGAACCTTTTGTCATTTCAACAGATGTTATTGCTTAAACATGATAACCATCATCATTTTTATAACAGAGTTTTGAAGGCGATGTGGCAGAGTTATCTTTAGATTTCACGGTTACAGAAGAGGCATGTGGAAGGCGTGTTGTTACTGAGCTTAAACCTGGTGGTAGAGATGCCGCGGTTACAAACGAGAACAAACTGCAATATATCCATGCAATGGCAGATTACAAGCTAAATCGGCAAGTATGGCATGCTCTATGTATTTAGCTTATATCAATTAATATTTATACAGTATATTTAATTTACATGTTAACTTGCAGCTGCTTCCTTTAGCAAATGCATTTTATAGGGGTCTGACTGATCTCATATCCCCATCTTGGCTGAGCTTATTTAATGCAAATGAATTTAATCAGGTAATTATCATGTTAGTGTATCAAAGTTTGTTATTTGTCTTACTGGCCTGGCAAGTTTTCATATTATCGCTTTTTAATGTCCAATTTATATCTGGATCTGCTTCAATTTCCAATTTATATCTGAATTCCTATGAAGCACGGACACGCACAACATGAAGCCGTGTCGTGTCGTGTCCGTGTCGGACACACGTGTCGAACACACGTATCCTATGTATTTTTTAGGATTTGCCTCGTGTCGACGTGTCGGATGGCCGTGTCGTATCCGTGTCTGTGCTACATATCTGAATTCAACAGTGTTCCTATTCATAAATGGCAAAATTCATCTTTATCTAGGATATCAAGATAAATACGAGTCATGAATTCTGGGTTAAAGAGTAACAAAATCAAGCTCGTCTAGCAAAATGAGAAATTGACATATGTCAATTCTTTTTATGCTTGTGGTTTATGAGGATCATTCTATGAGAAAATAAGGAGTAAATCATTCTATGAGAAAATAAGGAGTAACAAAACCAACCCATGTCACACTCTGAATTTCATTAGTTTAGCTAATGATATATTTTAAAGGGCTATATGTG